TAGACGCGTTGACTAGGAGGTTGAGCAATATGCCTGGATGGTCGGGGAATTTGATCGACCCTGTGAAGTCTGCTGAGCTGGTCGCGGCGAGATGGGGCGGTAAGGCGAGTTATGACAAGCCTGAGGCTCCCCTGACTGAGGCTGGGATGAAGAGTGCGTCATTGGAGGATCGTGCCTACGCACTATCGCAGCTGAATCAGATGGTGAACTTCCACAAGAAGCACCTCTGCTCTGGGCGAGGAGCGCCTCTGGTGAGTGCAGCTGCCCCTAGTGGACCCTTTGCTCCGGACCAGCTAGATGATAGCAGGAAGTTCAGGCCGAGTGGGGCGGCGAGCAAGATGACCTACAATCTTGTGATACTGGATGGGAAGGAGGATTATCTTGCCGATAGGCGAGAAATCAATCCGGAGCTAAGGGAAACGGGAGTTATCCCTGATGAGGCCGTCACTTGCCAGATTGTGGTTCCCTCGAAGACGAGATTGGGTGAATACCTCCCAAACTACGAGGAGACAGTGGGCACTGTTGCAGGACGGGAGGCGGCGAAGGAGTTGATGAGACTGCTCTCGTGCGATTTCGACGGCCTGGTCATCAATTCAAAGAGAGTCTCGGAGTTATTCGAGGAACGTGTGCTGAAGGAGACCGGACGCGAGGCTGGAAACTGGGTGAAAAGTGACCAGGCCATCTGGTTTCTGAAGGAGATTTCGGGTATGGAGAACGCTGAGATGTCTTGGAAGTTCTTCATTCCGACGCTTAAAGCTTTCCCGATAGGGCAAGTGGAGGCGATGCTTATGGTCATGTACGACGGGGATGGCGTTCTCCTCAAGGAGAGCACCAGGTTGGTTGCCGTTAGGCACACGCGGATCGGACGCGACTTGAGTTACAGTCATGAAGTTCTCGGACTTTCGGAAGGCGGTTCAGCTCCAAAGGGTGAGGCGAAATGGAAAGGCCATGATCGAGATAATGATCACGAGGCCCGATGTGTACGAGACCATTGGGGATGGTAGGCAGGATGAGGGCCTGATCCCACTTGTGGGAGCCATGGCGCCGGATGCTGAGGTATCGCCTTCGTGGTATGTCAGGGACAGGCTGCGGAACTACTCCGGTAGGTACGTGGTGGTAATGGTGGATCTTCGGGTGCACTGGTCCGTGGTTGGACCCGTGTTTTTGACGAGAAGGAAGACTCTTGCCGTTAGGAACGAGATCCACATGGGAGCTTGGAAGGCGGCGTATATGTACGAGGATTACACGATAGTGTACCATCGGGCATGGGACTACGGTGACTTCACCCCCGTTAGGGGAGAGCACAAGCGATCACGGGAAGAGATCAGGCTGAATGTGACTGCCACGTTCTGCTTGAGGTGCGCGGAATTGATGCCGAATGGGATGCATTTGTGTCCCGGGTGCGCGCTCCCGGTCTTTTACCCGAACTTTATCCCCAACGCGGAGGAAAAGGACTTCGAAACGTGCCACATCGTGCCGGAGTGGGTGAGGACCATGGGGCAGTTCAAGCCCAGGAGGATTCCCTCCGAAGTGGTCGGAGTCATCAAGAGGAATTTGATTTCCTATTCGATGGCATCCGATCTAAGGATGACGGTGCAGAGCGGCATCAGACTTCCCCCTTATCTTGGTGAAGACAAGGGAGGTGTCGATGCGGCGTGGGATGAGCTGGCGAAGGTGCTCTTCCAATTCTCCTATGTGTCCGGGATTTCGGCCTCGGATGCGTTTGTGGAGAAGTGGGTGGCGAAGCACCTGATCAAGACCAACCAAGTCGATAGATTTGAGTCGGTCACGGAGTATTTCCGAGCCAATCCAAGGCACGCTGCGCAGTGGGGTAGGCGTATGACGACTTCCGTTAGGAAGTTCGCTCGTCATGACACGTACTTGTCATTCTATATCCCGATGGCATACGTGATTGGTTCTGCGGCTGGTCATCTGACCCCATTGTACCCGACCCATCGAAAGGACGTGGACATCCTGGAGAGTCATGCGTTGATGTCGCAGCTCAGGGGGTACATGGTATCGGAGACAGGGTATGATGAGAAGAAGAGGTTGAAGGAGGCGATAGCCAAGGTGCAGAAGGCGATCAATGCCGGACAGTCAGAGCCTCCCGCACCATTCCGTGACCCATTCGTCTACGTTAGTGACGAAAGGGTGAGGACGGTTCTTGACGGTCGTCAACCCGAACCATTGAACGTGGACATCGAGGGACTCCAATCAGTGCATCATGCTGCGCCGAGTCCTGGTCCCAAGCAGGAACCGGTCCCCAAGGGCGGAAAAGGAAAAGGGAAGAAGGGGGAAAAGGGCGGTAAGGGCGGTAGCCCTTCCGGCCCGCCACCAAAGTCAGGTGAAGTGCCGGGTAAAGGATCCGGTAAGGGCGGTAGCCCATCCGTCCCAAAGGCGAAGGATGACGCTGGACCTGCTCCGATGGAGGTTGATGCAGCAGCAGCTCAGCCGAAGAAGTCTTGGGCCGAGATGGTGGTTGAAGGGGCCAGGCCGAGTGCCAAGGCTAAAGTGACCCCGGTTCCCAAGGCAGAGCCGAAAGGGAAGGCTGCTTCGGCATCTGAGGCGAGGAGTGCTCCGGCTCCAAAAGCTGTGGCTAAGGAGACGAAGCAGGCCGAACCGAAGGTTGAGGTCAAGAAGGAGAAGACAGGCGGGGGTGACGCTCCCGGCGGTAGCCGCGGGTCGGCCGAAGGGCAGAAGAGAGAAAGGAAGTCCCGTTGGGATCCCGACGAGGCTGCGAAGGAGTCGACAAAGCGGGAGGCATCCACGAGGCCTGGCGATGTCGACAGCAGACCAGGTGCGGCAGCGAGAGAAGCTAGCGGGGATGATCTTCACTCCGCGCTTGGCAGATCTTCGGCAAAGGATGCGGTAGCGCCTTTGACTGCCTCCAAGGCGATGGCAAAGAAGCCTGAAGGCGGGGAGATCCGGCTGCAGTCTGCTGAGCGGGCTGCGGCGAGCCCGGTGGAGGGTCACTTCCTGGTGTTGCCTGAGAGTTCGGTGGTGGACGCTTTCTTGACGATCTCCAACCAACAGAGTGCTGAACAAGCAGGTTAGGGATTTCATCAGGAATGGTGAGGACGCGTCGGCACTGGAAGCTCTCAACCAGATTGTGACGAACTCTCAATCTGGGAGGAGGCGTAGGGAGTCGGATGTTTCCCGTACTCCTTCTCGGAGGTCCGTTAGGACCGTGGACACCAGGGATTCCAGAGAGTCGAGGAGGCGCAGATATCGTCCGCGGCGCGAGGATGATCGCGACAGGAGGAGGGACGATGCTCGTGATCGTCGTGATGATGATTCACTCGATCGGGAGCGGGATCGAAGGCGAGATGATCGCAGGAGATCCGAAGGGATCGTGATAGGGACCGTGCGCGGGGCGGACGTGACCGGAGGAGACGTGACGATAGCCGGTAGGCTGAGTCACGAGGATTGCGGCCGATAGGCTTACGTCCGTTCTCCAACGGTCGGCGCGGTGCGGAGGTGGCGATGTTCCTCCCGGACCGCTGAGGCGCGGAGGTCATGTCTCTCCCGTACCGCTGCTGAGCTGCTGGACGTGCTCATCCGGAAGCAGTATGAGTGAGAGGGAAAGCAAACTGATGGGGGGTTACTCCCGGGTTTGCGGAATTCAGGCATTTTTCAGGTACGCATGGTCAGGAGTACCTCTTGCCATTAGGCGAGGGTACTAATGGACATACGTTATCTTTTATTTCATGGCTTCTGATAAGAATTAAACTTCTTGCATTTCTGATGCAAACAGTTGTGACCTATTGTCGTCATGTGGACTTTTCCACAAGGTATGTTGGACAGCGTTACCCCGATTAATTCGGGGTGGTGGCGGGAATTTAATGCCCGGGATGTCGCGCGACTGCCTTTGTGGGTTTGCTCCACCGCTGACGGCGGTAGTGTCCAGCTGTTTGCGGACGTATGCGAGCAGTTAAATCCTATCAGTAAATGGCACGCTCCACCCGTCATATGACGGGCTCCTCGTGAGGGGGGTGTGATTAGCCATGGTTTTATTTCATCACCAGGGATGTCGCGGTAGTGACTGACCTGTGGTGTTTGGCTCAAGTTTTGGATCCGGCGCGCCTCGGATGAGCGTCGCCGGGCCCTCACGTCGACCGCCTTCGTGTCGGAGGAGAAAGAGACTTCGGCCCGGGGTAGGTTGGTGGGGATCGCCCGTGCGGTTCATCGTCGATCTAGGTTGCGGGTATCCTTTTCTTGTTTGGTTTGATTTCCTTTGGTTGTTGTTCTCTGGTGTGTGGGAAACCCTGATCTTTGGGACCGGGGATTGGTTTGCTTTTGGGGAACCTTTCTTTTGTGGCTTGTTTACCCCAACTTACCCATTGCCTGGGCACAGGTTCGTGCCCGAATCACACGCAATAAGCCTTTGATAATTTATGTGCAGTGCTGATTTATGAACACTTCGATGGTAGTGAAAATATCCGTTCAAGAGTAGAAATACCCGTTCGAAAGTGGAAATACCCGTGTCATCAGGCCAAAAAGTACTTTTTCAATTTTGGAGTAGGAATTCTTAACTTCCAGGAGATCCAGGTATTCATGTGGAACGGATCCATGCATCGATGGGGCCCCATTCAACAATTGCTCCTTCAAAGCATAAGAGTCACGTTGGCATAGAGCAAACGGAGTGGCATCTTTGTAAGTACGCCTTGTTGGCCCAGAGCATTTCATGTTTGGGTGATGTGACTGTTGTTTGCCTCTCGGCCCAGAACTGGTACAAACGAGTTCGTGAAACTCGCTGCATCATTGCAGCCTCAGTCCTGTCCCTACCTAGCCGAAAATCTGGGCTCGACCCTGGAAAATGCTGCTTTGAACACAGCGCAGAGACCGATATCACGTCCAATGGATGCGCATCCTTCATGTTTTTGTTCGAGGCAAAGATGTGTTTGCGTGTGAGCAAGATTCATCCCTTGTTTCGCTCACTTGATTGTGTATCCGCACTTGGGACGTTCAGGGACCCAATGCCTTCGATTACTGCAACTGCCAGACCAAGCTTACGGCGGATGCGCTCGCACAGCTGCAACTTGAGGAGCCGCAGGAGCCTTTGTGAAAGACTGCCTTCCAGTGACTGTGCGCTGAAACCGGCGTTTTTGAAATGCTCAGGACAGCCTTTTTTGATTTTTGGACAAACATGTGAGTTGGTACCCTTCTTGAGTTGTTTTGAAGGGAAAGCAAGAAGAACCACACAATTTGAGGGTTGCCCCTTTGGAGAAAAACCCGCAAGTGTTGTTTTGTAGGGAAGGCACCAGGGTTGGTTCCCGTTGGACCACCTCGTAAACGAGCATTAGGGCATGCCCCGTGTTCGAGACAGACCTGTTGGATAAGTCCCAAGATTCCGGTTGATCTGGGTTGCTTGAATTTCTTGCTGATAGTTGTCAACAGATCCAGGCTTCGCTGATTAACTCATTGACCTTACTGTACATAATTCGATCTTGTTGCCTAGACTGGCCGGAGCGGCGCGATTGCGGCGCCGGGTTGGGAGCCGGGCTGTGTTGCACCAAGAGGGTTGCCCCTGAAGGATAATGTGCACTATGTAATATTGTCCCAATGCGTTCTCCAATAATAGTTTCATAAGTGTCAACGAAGCCTTCTTGGCTGATTGAGCAATTAAACTCTTTTTCTTGGCTACCAGCGGGAGGATCCAGCTAGTGAAGGGATCACTGTACACCCACTAGAGGCACACACAGAATCGAGCATGTCCACGTTCTTGATGTCAGCATCCACACCTTTACTGGCGCCACCGAAGGATGACGATGCGAAGGCATCACCGAAGGCTTCGCCTAAGGCGTGGGCAGATTTCAGAAAGCTTGATGAGGTTTGGGCCTTGAAGGCTGGTACGCATCCGCTTTGTGTTTGAACCGAAATGCAACCAACATGAGGGATCGTCGGGACGACCATTGGTTTGCACCCACATCTTGTGGATTGAATGAGTGCATGGGCTGGATTCCGAGAGCGCAAGCTCACCGCGCAGGCATCAAAAAGAAGATCGGTGAAAGATGAGAAGGACAAAGAGAAGGACAAAGAGAAGGACAAAGAGAAGGATAAAGAGAAGGCGAAGCGGGGGAAGGATGCTTGTGTCAAGCTAATTCATTCAAGTCCGAGTCTTCGTGAGTTGCACTTTCCGAGCTCATTGCCAGAGAGCCGCTCACATGCAAGGAGAGCAAGGTGAAGTCACCGGATGAGCCTTGGCTAAAGTTGGATCGCCAGCAACGGTGCTTGTGAGCTGAATGTGACAGTGGGCTGGTTCAGAGTATAGGCGCTAGAGATTGAATTCCCCAATCCGAGGGATGGCATGGCTTAATTGAGTTTGCGGAGACAAGGGGACCCAGAAGTGCAGTTTATCAAAGGGGTTGTTTGACAGCGTTTGCGGACAGCCCCCTTCAAGGTTGCATGGTTTACAGGCTTTGCGGAAATGGACTGCATAGAAGCATCACTCCGTTGAGAGCCTCGGAACGACTCCGGGGATAGTTTCGCCATCTGTCTCTTTTGCCAGCGGGGCCTGCCTCATGGGATCCTTGGCTGTTAGCATGATTGCAACTTGGTTTGATGAGCCGCACATGCTGCGTCGCTCGGCTTCGAGTGAGTTTCGGCTTGGAGTGTCAGGCACATGTCGATAAGGCAGTGGTTGGCCCGCAAGACAAAACGCAAAGTCAACTTCTTCGCCCTTTTTACGTGCATGCCGCTGATTTGTTTGGCGAGGAGATATTCGGGCCCAGCGACGGCGAGGAGCGTGAGAGTTTGTTTGGTATTCTTACATTTCCCTTGGAGATTTGAACATCACCTTTCGGCTATGTCAAGAGTGGCAGGGTGATGAAGGGGTTGATGGAATGAAGAGCCCTGAGGTGGCGTTGAAAGGTTGGAACCGGAATCTCACTCTCCGACATTGCGCGGGGTCATCCTGTTCGGAATGCGCGCCTCAACACCTGCAGGCAGAATGATTCCTTTGGCGCAGGAGGGCGATGAAGCACACCAAGAAGGAGAAGAGGGAGAAGAGGACGACACACCATGTCCTTTATCAGTCTCGAGCCGCGAAGTTGTCCATTTGGAAAGGGTGCACTGGAAAGAAAGCGAGCGAGAGAGCGAGTGAGCCAGCAAGAAAGCAAGCACCCTAAACCCAACCTCAAACAACCCTAACCCCCCCTGAACCCCCCCTAAGCTCACCTTAAACCAACGCTGGACCCCCTCAACCTAAACCCGTCCCAAACACCTAAACCCACCTGAACCCTGAACTAAACCAACCTTGCCCCAAGCCAAAGCCATCCTCCCAATACAATCCGCCATCCCTCAAAGGCATTCCCCACCTTCTAAAGACATCCCCAATGTCAACTCCCCCACCTACCACCTTAAACCAACCCACCCCACCCTAAATCCCACCTAAACCAACCCTAAATCCACTCGTCTAAGCCAACTCTAAACCAAGCCAGAACCAACCCTAAACCCCATACCCTAAACCCTAAAGCAACACCTAGCCCTACCCTAAACCTA